ACCTTTCTTAGCCTCAACCTTTTCTTGTACCTCCTCCCTCCACACCAAGATTTTTTTTTATGTGGAGTAAAACCCTTGAACTTTCCTAGTACCCTTCTTGCAAGTCGGATACAGCTAACCAAGGAACCCCACATTTGGCTAGCATCCCCCTCTGCATCCCAAAAGCACTGGTTGGGTACTTGCTCTTTGAAATTGACTTGTTTTTCTCCTTTTAGATTCCATTATCTAGTTCTTGGGCACTTCAAAGTCATGTTCTTTCTTCTATCTCTTTTGAAATGTACATAATGTTGGTAAGCTAGGCACTTTCTTGGTATAACTTTGCAATCCTTACAAGTTATTCGATCATTCTTCCTCATTAAAAGGAAATTTATTTGTGTTTTTGATGACCCACTCTGTAAAATCATATCTGCACTAAATTAATTAAAACTACGGTTGTTTTCATATATTTTGATTACTAAATGATCTTCTATTTAATTTGTTTTTGCAAAAATAATATTTTCATAGTGATTTATAATATGAACAATTTCTTTAATAAACATAACGATCCGTAAATCGACTACAGTCATTGAGGAGCCTTTCTTAAAGGAAAAACACTCACATTAAATTACCATAAGAAAAAGTTAAAGTAAGAAATAAGTGAAAAGTATGAGCCGATGCAAAGTAATGAGAGATTTCTCAGTGTGTTTGAAACACAAGTGGCAGAATACATATCATTATAAATTGAAGGGACGCTTGCAAAAAGAAAATTTCCTTGAAATATATAATACATGTGGCGCACCACTCCATATTCCTAGTACATTAAAAAACCTCTCCATAGTAACAATCCAAATCAAGTACTTCAAAGATTAATAATTTTTTTTTTTTTGAACAAATAATATTATCTACACTAAGGGGTGAGGGAGTGGGCTAAGCCTCAAAATGGGCTAGTAATAATATGGTTCAAGTTCGCATGTGGTCCTAAAATTGGTATCACCCACCGATCTAGATTTTCCCACTGTGTATGCCTCGTCCTAAGCCAAACACTTGTCCCAAAACCATGGATGTTCATTTTGCTACTTTCAAAGCTGATTTACCCTTTCTTATCATTGATGTGGTGAACACAGCTTTTGACACAAGGCTTTCCACCCAACTCGATTTGCACATTCCGACCTATTTTGAGCAGTTCCGACACGAGCTCTAGCATGAACTCAGAGAGGGTGAAAGTTCATCGATCCTCCTCTCACCAATCATCATGTACCTCTTGATCTGGAACCAATTCATCAACCGCGAAGTCCTATGTGGATTAGTGGTACTCAGAATCTGCGACCGTTATGGCAGCAACGGCTTGAATTTCCCCGATTTACTAAAGGTGATGATCTCCTTGCTTAGATCTACAAAGTTGAACAGTTCTTCACTTCTATGGGATTTCGGATTCTCAACATGTTTTCACTGCCTCCTTCCATTTTTACGGCGAGCTTCTTCACTAGTTCCTTTGGATGGACTGCACCAACACCACTCCGAGTTAGCCGGAGTTCACCAAAGCTCTTTTCTGTGAATTTGGGCCCTCTAAGTTCGGGGATAGTGTTGAGGCTCTCTTCAAACTCAGGCACATAGGTACTCTTCATGATTACATAGCTGAATTTAGGCGTTTAGCTACAAGGTCTCCTGAGATTGGCCCCATTTTGCTGAAAAATTGCTTTCTAGGAGGGTTGAAAAAAGAGTTAAGATATGATGTCAAATTGTTAAAACTTGCAAATGTGCATGAGGCTATTGCCATTGTAGTGCAACTTGATTCCAAACTCACTGAGCTTAAATTGCCTCATTCTCGAACTTTCACAACCTCTAGAGGTTCTAATACAATTGTTGCACCTCACTACCATACTATCCCTAGAACTAGCAATCTTGCCATTAAGAAACTTACCCCAAATGAGTTACAGAATAAGAGAGAAAGGTGTGAATGTTGGTTCTGTAATGACAAGTGGGTAAGAGGGCATAAGTGTGGGCTCAAGCAACTATTAATGATGGATATAATGGATTCTGAAGTTGCTGAGGTTGAAACAGTGGAGGACCAACCTGAATTGCAGCATATGGAGCTCAGTGAGTGTGCTTTTTATGGCACATGTGGAGGTTCTACAACCCAAATTATGAAGGTTCTCTATCAAGTTAATGGTCACACTATGAAAATCCTTCTCGACTCTAGCAATTCTCACAATTTCGTAGATTCTAAATTGTTAAAACATTGAGGATGGTAAGATTAAACTACCAAGTCCTTTAAGGTCATGATAGCTAATAGGGGCAAGGTTACAAGTTCTGGTTGCTGCAAAGCTGTTGAATCATCACTAGCAGGTTACCACTATCACATGGACCTATATTCCCTGCCATTAGGTAGATGTGATGTAATTTTGGGAGTGCAATGGCTTTCTACAGTGAGCCATGTGTTATGGGATTTCCAACTTCTCATTATGGAATTCACCAAGAACCATCACACCTACAAACTGTTTCACAATTCCTCCACTAAAATTAAGATTCAGAAGGTGTCTCTCCACTATCTAGACAAGGAAATAGTCAATTATAACTTGGGGTTATTCTTGTACTCTATGAAATGAGAGAAGTTAGAATTCTGTGAATTGAGCTCAGTGCAGTTCCAAGAGCTGCAGCAACTCTTGGGTGCATTTGAAGAGCTCTTTGTCTTGCCTAACAAGCTACCCCCACAGTGTGACATCCCACATCGCCCAGGGGAGTGATCCTTAAATGTGTATTCACATCCCTGCCTAGCACGAGGCCTTTTGGGAGCTCACTGGCTTCGGGTTCCGTAGGAACTCCGAAGTTAAGTGAGAAGGGGGCTTGAGCAATCCCATGATGGGTGACCCACTGGGAAGTTGCTCGTGAGTTCCCAAAAACAAAACCGTGAGGGAATGGTAAGCCCAAAGCGGACAATATCGTGCTACGGTGGTGGAGCGGGCCCGGGAAGTGATCCGCCTCGGGTCGGGATATGAAATACAAAGAGAACATGATCATCATATCCCTCTTGTGCAAGGTGCTAAACCCACAATCATTAGACCATATCACCATGGTCTATTACGGAAGACAGAGATAGATAAAACAATCCAAGAGCTACTTGATGCAGGTTTTATAAGGCAAAGGCATAGCCCAATTTCCTTCCCTGTGTTAGTAGTGAAAAAAGAAAGAGGGCATCTCGAGAATGTGTATAAACTATAAAGAGCTCAATGCACTCACCATTAAGGATTAAGTACCTCATACCCCTTATCAATGATTTATTGCATGAATTGCATGTATCTTTCTACTTCTCTAAGTAAGACTTGAGGTCTGGATATCACCAGATCTTAATGCAACCTGGAGATATTGAGAAAACTACCTTTAGGACTAATGAGGGCCACTATCAATTCCTAGTAATGCCTTTTCAGCTTACAAATGCTCCTGCTACATTCCAGAGCTTAATGAATGATTTGTTCAAACCTCACTTTAGGAAATTTGTGTTAGTCTTCTTTGATGACATCCTCATCTATAGCAAGACCTGGGAAACCCATTTAGCTCACTTGCAGGTGGTGTTTGAGATAATGAAGCACAACCAACTCTTCTTTAAAAAAATCCAAATGTTCTTTTGGCCAAGGTAGAGTTGAGTATTTGGGACACTTTGTCTCCAAAGAAGGAGTCCCTGGGAAAATACAAGCTATACTGGCCTGGACCAAAGAATGTTAAGGAATTGAGGGGATTCTCCCTATTATAGGAAGTTTGTGCCATGCTATGGCAAAATTTGCCAGCCCTTATACCAATTGACAAGAAAGGATGGGATGGGTTCTATTAGGATACAAAAGCTAAACAAACCTTTGAAAGACTTAAAGTTGCCATGATCTCTCCATAGGTACTTACCCTACCAGATTTCTCCTAGCCATTTGAGCTAAAGTGTAATGCATCAGGCTGTGGCATTAGGGCTGTGCTGCAACAATGCGGGAAACCTATTGCTTTTTCAAGCCGATTATTGGGATCAAGGAATCAAGCACTTTACTTATGAAAGAGAGTTAATTACAGTGGTTTTTGCAATGAGAAAGTGGCAAAATTACTTGCAGGGTAGGCATTTCATAATTAAGACTGACCACAACAGTCTTAAGTATTTCTTGCATCAAAAAGCCAATACTGCATTTCAACAGAAGTGGGTTTCCAAAGTTATTGGGTATGACCATGAAATATAGTTCAAAAATGGTTTAGTTGTAGATGCATTATGTAGATTTTAGGGTGCACCTCAGTTACCAGAAACCTCTTCTCAATCTATTGGGGAATGCAATTCTATTTCTTACCCTTACCATGGATGGATAGATGAGTTGAGAATGAACGCTGAGCATGACGAGCGATTATAGAAAAAAAGAAAGAAGTGGTTAATTCTTCAATGAGTGGCACAGGTAGTTCAGCTTTGCGAAAGTACACTATTGACAATGGTTTCTTGCTTTACAAGAAAAAGGTTGTGTTGAGCTCTCACTCTGAGTGGAGAAAGAATATTGTAGAAGAGCACCACTGACTGCACTCCCTCTGCTGGCCATTGCACTCCCAAAGCCTACCTGAGCCACACTGTACAGCTTTAAGTTGGTCTTTCGACGGAGAACCTTTGCTGCAACCTTCTTGCTTTCTCCTCTGGTTCAAGCGTAGGATGATGTAAAGCCTTGGAAATATTCTGGTATCAAATCGTATGAAGTCTGAACGATTTCACAATTGTCCAAATTTAGGGAAATTTAATTGGATAGCAGATCGACTCTATTCTAATACTTAGAAAATAGCAGCTTGCACAATGTAGTGCGTGGCAATCTAAGATCGAAGTGAGAGTATTAGGAAAAGATCGTTCTCATCCCAAGATTTTGCTTTCGGCTTATTTTTCCTTGTCGATCTTCAGTGGCACAGCTTCTAGCCCTTCTATTGAGAGGTAAATTGTCCCACTGCATATTGATAGTAACAGTGAATAAATTTACATCCGTGAGACATGAATTTGTAAACACATTCCTCGTCAAGAATTGGTAAATAGTAGCATAACTATTCTTAATGAATTTTAGTTACATGATCTTCGTTTTCCAAACTACATCAGCGAAACCCCGAACTCCAAGGACCAAATTCGGAATTTATTCACAGTAAGAACCAAAGCATCAGCCGCAGACTGCGTTTCATGGATTGGAGATGCGTCCATACAACGGTAAAAATGTTGCCTCGCTTCATAATTTATTGGCATACAAAATCGGAGTAGAAAGCTAGGACTGTCCTCCTTTGACAGTTCTGAATGCTTAGTAGTTCCACATCAAAAACTTCAAACTGTTTCGAGCTGAAGAAGGTGGATGGTCCGACCTGTAAAACCAATAGTCTTTTATCAAGTATACGAGGAAATTCAAACACAAAAATACTAGGTACTAGTTTGTGCAACAAAAACATCTTCAACTCCGACTTTGGGATTTTGGTAAATAGGATCTCTTGTATAAAAGAACTAATCTAATGATCTAATGTGTTCATGTCATTCTGGGGTTGTCAAGGATTTTGGAGGGTTAACATTCATGATATTCTTGCATTTCAAGACCGAATCCGCCTGAAATACAGACAACAACATTTCTGTTGAGACCTTGATCTTCGAATTCTCAAGTCCCGAGATGTCGAACAATGGATCAAAACTCACAGGGTTGGATGGCAAAACAGCCAGGACAGTTGGATCTATGGGTGCAGATTTTGCAGAATTCATGCTCAAATAGAGAAGATATTACGAATTCAAGGAATTTCGGTGAACTTAAAAGACATTACGAATTCAAGGAATTTTGGTGAACCTTAAACTAAGTTATCACAGTATAGAGGACTGCCTTCAAAATGCAGGTAAAAGGAAAGGACCACAATCGAAATAGTAACTTGAAATCGTAAGTCTGCTAAAACTTTGCCTCCTAGGCCATGTCGAAAATATCTTAGGTGAGGTGAACTACGCAAGAATAAAACGGACACAAGTACACAAACTACTCGTAGAAGGCTACTCGTTTCAACATTTTATAATGAATTCCGAAACTTCTTGGACTACGGAGTCTTTCCTGGAGCCATTTACAGTTTGTTTGAATGCTCCAACATGTTTAGCATCCCTCATTCGTTATGGATACCAATCAACCAATAAGATTGAAATTACGAGAGGAAGTTATGCAAGTATACACTACGGAACAATACCAACTTATCAGTAAACCAAGAAAATTGGAGAGTTGAGTAAACTGACCGGTGGTCCAAGTTCTGGTGGAATGATTATTCTTCTTTTCCCTCCAGGTTTCATGTCACGAATTCCTTCTTCAAATCCTGCAGTACTTCCTAGTTTAGCAACTTTAGCTACAAGTTATCTTTTCCTCCTCCCTCTTCTCCGCCACTTCTCCGTTTCCTTCTCGGGGTGGAGAAGAGGGGCCAGGGCAAGGGACAAAGTACACAAGATTTTATGAACTTGAGAGTTGATTGTAATTTTAACCTGGGACCAATGCATTTGTGCCCATGCGGATTCTGGCCGGAGAACCCTGCGTGTAACTGCTGTCAATACGCCGGCCTGACTCGTTGTATCCAATATAGTGGAACATCACCTGCAAAGTATCTTGAATCAGAGGTGCTCGTAACTTTACTGTCACCTTTTACCCTTTTTGGGTAAATTTTTCAAATTCTAGTATTATTCAGAGAGGAAAACAACAGCTTTTAAAAAGCATGAAAGAAAAACCTGCTGACCAGCCTCTGGGCAATCACCTTCACCAACTACAAAATCCCGAAATATAAGCCCCGAGTCTCTTGTGATGTAGTTTGGTGGCGTTATTACCTGAACCTGAAAACCTGATACACACGTTCATATATACATATTGATTCTGCTGGGATCCGTAAAAAAACAATGACTCGGTAACAGCAGATTAATTAGAGGAAAAAATATATCGAGAGTTTGTATTTGTAAAGGCAACAGTGATACAAACCTTCTCTAATGAAACTTGGAAAGTCTTCGGGTGCATTATTTTCTTTCTGTATGCGCTTGTTTTGTTCAAGTAAGCGCCTTTCATCAAATGGACTTTTACTCTTTGTCTTTGCAGAAGAAGATAAATTTGGAAACAAGCTAGTTGTGACCGAAAGAAATAGGAGAAGCCTCCGACTCAAATTCTCTTCGTAATGTGATAAGCCATGGCTCCTTTCCCCAGTTCTGCAAAGCAAAGGTTTACGTAACACGAATTTTTGTTATTCATCAACAGAATAAGGGGGGCAAAAACTAGATAAAATTTGTAAACCGATTAAAGAAAATCTAACCTGTGATGTCTCGAGTCATGACGCGAGCAGCATTGTATTATTTGGTTATTCTGATTCAAATGAATCCTTAGTAAGGGAGCTGGAAGAATTCTGTTTGTCAGTAAGTTGAAATTGACAAGAAAGATAACAAAAACATATTTACGCTCATGGTTTAGCTGCTGATAAAAAAGAGAGTGAAAATTTTATAAAGTCAAAGCATATGGAAATAGTAAGAATTTGGCAAGTTTCATAGCTTCATTCAGTCTTACTGGCAAGTATAACAAAGATAAAGCATTCACAGCGGTTTATAGTTGCATCTCTAATAGAAGCTCACCCCAGAACCAGCCCTAGGAAGAAACCTCGAGCCCCTCACAGTCAGTCTCACCCCACCATTTTCGGGTTATCAATTTCTCTGTACAGGACGGGGTTGGACGCGAGGAGGGTTTTAACTTGATATACATTGTTGATTCATTCTCGAATATCTTTAAGCTTTTGCAGCTCTTCAAGTAGTTTTTAGTAGGCATCAGAAAATCTAATTTAACAGAAGACCAAGTCCTTGAGACACCACTTTCCTTCGCTTTCGAAAACTTATTGAATTGTAATTGACAAAGATACTAGATTACCAGACGCTGCAAACAAGATAATTAGAGGCAGTTTTTCGTAACCAATTTCTGGGTTTTTAATAAACTAAAAGTTGCAGTAGCAAAACAGAGAAAAGCCAAGAAGGTAGAAACATTAAGGGAAAAAAAAAGCACAACTTTAAGAAATGTACGTTTCTTGTATAAATCAAATTCCAACCCAATAAAATTATCCTGTAGAGAAATGACTTCCGCACGTCCTTCTCTCATTTTGCACAACCTTGTTTATTTTTTGTGCATCGATCCTCCAATGGTTTATCCAATTCAAATAACAAGTGTGCAGGAAGAACGAGTGTGCGGAAATCACTTCTCTATCCAATATTCTACATATATATATATATATAGAGAGAGAGAGAGAGAGAGAGAGAAAGAGATTACAGGGTTTAAAAGAGAGAGAAGAGGGAATCATCAGCATGGCTCGGCTCGAGCTTTAAGTTTCCGGCATGTATGGGAGTTAGCCAAACACACACACAGAAGGAAGGAAACCGTTATTTGGTGATGTTATCTCTTCAGATTGCTGGTAAAGAGACAAATAAGTAAATATCATTTGACTCCCCAATGGTTCTTGTTATATCATTTCCTCCCCCAAGATTCTTCAATATTGCCGGAGGGGTCCAGGCTGACCTAGACCCATCTTTCTTCTCTTGGGGTCCAATTCGATCCAAATATGTCCATTCGGATTAAGCCCAACCAAAAACGCATTTCAAGCGCGGATTTTCTTTTTTTTTTTTTTTAGTACATCGATATTTTTACATTAGGAGGAGGAGTTCAGTTAAAGTACACAATGGACAACCTAATTTAGTATTGAATTTGTCATCCACGAGATTGGAACCTAAGACCTCTCACTTCCAAGTAGAGAGAAATATCACCAGACCGTAATACTGAGCGGTCTCATAAAGCAGATTTAAATGCTCGAAAATTTCGATATGTTCAATGCATATAGATCACAAAACAATCTTCAATTTGATTAGTTTTTTTTTTTTTTTTTGCATATAATGATATTTAAAGAGAATTGTAATTGACACTTCAAAAATATAATTGTGCACTCAAAATTTTTTATATTTAAATAATTGTTTCCTATGTAAATAGTGATTTAGAAAATAAACGATTTTGATTATGACATGTGGCTGTATATATTCCTTGACCACAACTAGATGAGAAAGAGGGTGCACTTATCATTGATGAGAAAGGAGGTGGACTTAGGTATAATTCATTGAACTATAGTTTAAAATACAAAGATGTTGTAGCTCAAGTGGGTAGGAATATTTATCAAAGCACCCGAAATGCTGTATTCAAATCAATCCATAGGCAATCATGATTCTACCAACGCATAAATATCAACCCTTGTTCTTTTTGCACAATTTCGACTAACGGGATCACAATAGGCCGACTGTAATTGTGGCCCGTTAGTCGAAACATGTTTTGTGGTCTCCCTAGCATTATTTTTTTCCAAAATGCAACACAAACCCTAGTAGTAAAATTAAACCATTAGAAATGCTTTCTAAACATCCAAAATGGTACAACAGAGAACAAATGTTCATCAAATGTGTAAATAAAATTGATAAACAGATAATACTTTGAGCTAGAACAGGATGAAAAATCCATCTTTCCATAACTCTCCATCAAGCATTGCAATTATACGATCACCTAAACGAATTAGCAGAGATGTGTTGCGCTCTTGATCGGTCCATTGATGCCACTTTTTGAAGCCTAATCTGCTCTCTAAATCTCGCTATGAACTCGCCCGCCTTCTTATCAACCTCTGAGTCTGCTGCTCCAACATCCACACAGTTACTACATGTAGCAGCAGCAGCAGCAGCAAGAGCGTCATCTTCGCTTTCATCATCCGAGCTTACTTCAAAGTTTTCCGCCTCACTTTCCAAGTCTTCTTCTTCTTCAGACTCTGCAGCTGCATTGCCACGAAATTCTCGCATCTGCTTCTTCTCATGTTTTGGAATTTCTGGCTTTGGCTGCAAGAGATTGCCAAAATCGAGCTTAGTAGTTGCAGTGCCGAGATTTTTCACATTGGTTCCTCCGTTTTGCATTGTATCTTTTCTCATAGGTATAAAATCACCCATGTCTCGCATCTTCTCAACCTTTTCAGGAGTGGTAAGTCTACTACCTCTGATAGTTCTAACCGATTTTCCCCTTGATGAGGATTTAGTGAGGCTTGCAGGTTTAGTATCCAATCCCAAAAAACCTTGCCCCAATTCTTTGCTTTTCAATTGCTCCTCCTCACTTCCGCTTCTGCTTCCTCTTCCGCTTCCACTTCTGCTTCCACTTCTGCTTCCACTCAAATCCTTCAAGTAATTTTCTGAGGATTTACTGAGGCTTGCAGGTTTCGTATTCAATCCCAAAAAAACTTGCCCCAGATCTTTGCTTTTCAATTGCTCCTCCTCACTTCCGCTTCTGGCTCCGCTTCCACTTCTGCTTCCACTCAAATCCTTCAAGTAATTTTCTGAGGATTTACCAAGACTTGCAGGTTTCGTATTCAATCCCAAAAAACCTTGCCCCAGATCTTTGCCTTTCAATTGCTCCTCCTCACTTCCGCTTCTGCTTCCACTTCCACTCAAATCCTTCAAGTAATTTTCTGAGGATTTACTGAGGCTTGCAGTTTTCGTATTCAATCCCAAAAAACCTTGCCCCAGATCTTTGCTTTTCAATTGCTCCTCCTCACTTCCGCTTCTGCTTCCACTCAAATCCTTCAAGTAATTTTCTGGGGACTTACTGAGGCTTACAGGTTTCGTATTCAATCCCAAAAAAACTTGCGCCAGATCTTTGCTTTTCAATTGCTCCTCCTCACTTCCGCTTCTGCTTCCACTTCCGCTTCTGCTTCCACTCAAATCCTTCAAGTAATTTTCTGAGGATTTACCAAGGCTTGCAGGTTTCGTATTCAATCCCAAAAATCCATGCCCCAATTCATTGCTTTTCAATTGCTCCTCCTCACTTCCACTTCCACTTCCGCTACCACTTCTGCTTCCGCTTCCGCTTCCGCTTCTGCTTCCCCTTCTGCTTCCCCTGCCGCTTCCACTTCCACTTCTTCTCCCACTCAAATCCTTCAAGTAATTTTCTGAGCTTCTCCTTAAGTCCTCCTCATGGAAAGAACCAATGCTATAGCCCCGCGAATGTAATGCACTCAATGAAGCTTTTTCATTCATTGGTTTTGGTGGTGATGATGCAAATCCTGAAGGAGAAGAAGACCCTTGAGAATGGGAACTCCTTCTTTTCTTTACATTCTCCGACTTTGAGTTAAGCACCTGCGAAGACATGGAGCACGCTGAAGAGTCTTCTTTTGGGGAAGAAGACGGAGAACTAGTTTGAGAAGAAGACTCAGAAGTAAAGGACAATGCGGACTGGAAAGACGAGTTTTCATTGATTCAAATTGAGTTTCATCAACGGAGAACAGCCTCAAACGCGATGGACGAGCATTACTACCTAGTCTGTTCCCCCTCTCCATCTTTCCAGAACCCGAACGCCAATTAACCGGAGAAGGTGACGCAGCAGCTTCATTTAACTTATCTTCCAAATTTAGAGGACCCATATCCCCATTCTAACCCCATCAGAGCTATTAAAAGAACCCGTGGAACCTAAACTAAACTCACCCCTAGCAACAAACTCAGAACTATCATGGCTTTTCACCCTCGATTTCAAACTCCGAACGGGCAATCCCAACGGCTGATTATCAGCAATTGATCTGGGTTTTCCCCATTCATCAAGACCATAATTTGGTTGAGCAACAAACACCATGGATTCACCCTGAAAATACTGAGAGTTCCAAGCTTGGGTAACATTTTTCTCTCCATACCCACATGAATTTTCACCCCCACTTTCACAAATCCCCGAACTGGGTTTGCATTGGGCATCAAAAACATTGCTTTCATGACAAGATTCAGACACAGCTGCCACAGGGTTACCCACAAAATACCCAGAATCCCAACTCTGACCCTCTCTTTTCTCACCATACCCAAATGCGTGTTCACACTCGCCCTCGAAACTCGACGAAACGGGAAAAAATCTAGGCACGTAAGAGTCAGAACTACCTACATTTGAGCTATTTTCAAATCCCATTTCAGCGCTATTTCTTCTGCTGAACAAGCCGTAGGACACGGCAATGCCGACGACGATAACGTGAATGAGCTCCCAGAACTTGGTGAGGATCGTGTGGTTGATGAATTCGGGAGCTTGTGAGGGAAAAAGTGGAAGAAGGACGATGAAAACGGCAAAGGTAAGAGCTTTAAGGAGAAAGTGCATGGTGTAGGACTTACCGTGTCGAATCGGGTTTCGGTGAGGTTCTGGGCGCGGATCGGAGAATGGGAAGTGGGGTTTTCGGTAGGGGATGGAGTCCGCCATTGATGAGCAGGTGAGCTTCTGCGGAGCTTTTGGATTTTGTGTGAAGCAAGGAAGACTTTGCAGGCACGGAAGAAGAAAGAGTGGAAAAAAGTGTGTGAGGAGGGAGAGGAATTCAACAAGTGGAGTGTGTATAATTATTACCGATTAGTTGAAATGACTTTATTAGCCCTGCATTTTGTCTGGTTTTACGGGATTTTATGAAATGTGGTGATCTTATCTGTTGGGTCTTGGAGGTCATTTGACCAAAGGACAAAACGAAAGCAAATTTGGGGAACAATGTAAACGACAGCGTCCTAGTTGAAAAACGATGCGGCCCTTCCGTTAATTACGGAGGAACATAAAAGTCGTTTAAAGAAAAGAAGAAAAGGAAAATAAATAGAGTGCAACACAAAGCTCATTGAGCACCTAACCAAACATAAGTCATCGACATACAAATTTGATTATAGACATCTAGCTTCTTGTTTTTTTTCTTTTTCTTTTTTTTTGTAAACGATTGATCGATTGATCGATTGATTGTACAAGACAATGAAAAGAAAGCGATTTTTCACATTCTGTTTTTGTTTTAACATTTATTCATCTATTTATAGTCGTATGGTGAATACATCTAAAAAGAAGACACAAACAAACAACTTAGTGCAAGGGAGAAAATGATAATGGAATTTTAGAATCCAAAATTATAATTGAAACTTTATTTAGTTTTATTGATTGGTTTGTTTGTAGATGCAAATGCAACACATTGATCACACGTGTTTTTCTCCACACCTAAATGTGAATTTAAAAAAATTTATGTATGAAAATATGTATAATTTTTTTTTCGTTGAACATATTTTATTTGAGAGAGATTCTAATAAGAGGAAATTGTGGCAATGGTCTCTTAATTTTAACACAATTGGAATAATAGTCCCTCAACTAAAAATATGTGACTATTGGTCTCTTAACTCATCAAAACGTGCAACGATGGTCTTTTTGTCAACTCTGTTATCATTTGTGTCCAAATAAGTCACGTGTCACGCACGTGGCCCTGAATTAAGTGACAAATATGGAAAATGAAATGAGAAAATTTGTAGCAAGGGTCCCTCAAATTTAACCTAATTAGACTAACTGTCCCTCAATTTTAACCCAATTGTAGCAATAGTCCTTCCAACTCATTTTGACGGATTGACGAAAAGAATCATAGCTGCATGTTTTAATGAATTAAGGGACCAATAGTCATGATTTTTTAATTAAGAGACCATTACTCTAATTATATTAAAATTTAGAGATTATTGCTACAATTTTCTTTTATAGTAAACTACAGAATTGAAAGTTGGCCATCAAAGGGTCCGAATTCAAGGTGATCTTTGGGCCGACCTGGGCTCCAGCCCAATATACACCGTTTGGTTCACCTGGCGTGTCACTTTCTCGGGAAAATGTTTTCTCAAGTCTTCTCCAATTGCCAGGTGAGAAAATCACAGTGAAAAAGGAGAAAGAGAAAAATGGCAGGAACGGAGGAATTTGTGGAAGCAGATAATGCAGAGGCCATAATCAACAGAATCGAACAAAAGTCTCGAAAGATCGAGAGCTTACTCAAACAGTAACACTCTAATCCTTTCCCCTTTTTTCATACAATTTTCTGTAAAACCCCCTAATAATTTGATAATTCACCAAAAACCTCAACTGTTGGATCCGTTTTTCATCTAGGTACAAGACAGTGGAAGCTCTAAAAACTGCTCTTGAAGGATCGCCTCTCAACACCAAAGACGAGCGCTGCAAGGTTTGTCTTTTCTCTTTTTCCAATCTTCTGTTTTGTTGCCGAGAAAATCAATCGATGGAAAAGAAAATTGATGTGCGAGTTAGATCTTTACTTTTCCTTTTCCAGTGGGTTTCTTGGGTACCAATCAGAATTCTCCCCTGTTTAATTATACACTTCAATTGTTCTGTTTATTTATTTTTGAGTTTTGCAGTCTGCAAATTGGATAATGGTGCATAGAGCTATCATGGCTATAAAAGATGTGGATGCAATGTTTTCTTCTTTGGATCCCGAGTACTACGACATTCTTATGAAGTGAGTGGTTATACCTTATGAATGCCATCCAATTTTGCTTTCGAGTTTTTGATGTAATCCATTGAATTCAAATTTGAAATTTATGTAGATAATTAACTGTGTTTTGCTTGAAGGTGGTTTTGTATAGATTTGTTTTCTGTATATAGCACGGATGTCGTTAGCGGTTGGTAATAGTTTTATTGCACGATTCAATGAGCTTAGAATCATTGGAATTTCTTTAACCAAATATAGAGTACATGTAATGAGTATACTGCAGTGTTTGAGATAAACTGGTCTAGAATTTCCCATACGGAGAACCAAAGTGTCGTGAGCAATAGAAAATTAGAAATGAACTTGCATTTGACTAGGTAGACTTTTGCTTTGTTAGGGTACGAAGAAACAGGGGCCTTAACTGTCCATCATTCAGGCCTTAGAGGGATTTATTTGAATCAAATATGGCAGTTGAGTATCTAACTTACAACGGAACTTTGCTCTTTATTTTCCAAAGTCTCATTGTTCTTTATTTTTGAAAGATCCTAACTTGAATTATTAGTGAATGAGATTAAGGGAAATTCAAGAACAAGGTTCCGTTTTAAGTTCGTAACAGCATTGCATCCTCGCAAGGCCTAATCCTATGCTCTTTAGTCTTTCCGGGCATTCAACACACTATGACTGTCTACATTTCACAGCATTTTATTGTTGAGAGTGGGACCTAGTGGGAAACGAATAGTCTCATTCTTGGTAATCAAAGTATTGGCTTCATGGAATGTCTAGAAAATAAAATATTGAAATAGGCTTCAAAGTAGAAACTGGGACGTATTATATGTGTCGCACATTCATGCATGTGTATCATATTATACGAAATATATGTAGGTTTCATCTATTTTGCTTTTGCTTCCCAAGAAGTCAGATTATACTCGTTAGAGCGTTTCTTATGTGCCCTACTTTGGTGAGCAAGTATTCTACCCCAAAATTTTAGACGATGTTTGGTGCGTGTGTGTGTGTGTATTTAAGTTTGTGATTTTGATTTATTGATGTTTTTCTCATGAGTTTTATTTATTATTCTTCCTTTTCCAATAAGGAATGCTCTCCTGCCTTTCGTTTCTCCATCTTTGGTATATATACTGACCTTTAGGACGTTTACAATTTGGGGGTTTCTCTCACTGAAGGTACTTGTATAGAGGATTGTCTACTGGAGACCGGCCTACATGCGACCAGTGCCTTCGGATTCATGAAAAACTAACAGAGAAAGCTGGTTTGGGATGCATATTGCGGTGCCTTGCAGACACTGTGAATACGGTTTGATCTCAAGACAATGTTGATATCCTCACTTAGCAAACTACTGCATGCAGCGTCCTTTCGGTGATTATTGAAACTTAACAGAAATTCTACTCCAGATCTTTTGAATGTTGGTTTTATTTCTCTGTTTAAGATAGTTCTGCGACACTCAAATCCTCAATATATTTGTCCTTGTAGGCATACTTGATTCCTGAGGACCTTGGTCTTTCTAGCGTCTCACTTTTTACTGCATTTCATTTGGTTTTGTTTGAAACGGCTTCATGTGAATCATAACCCTTAATGTGAGTGAAATTTAAACTAATCTTCATAGAAAAAGAAATGTATTTTATCTGTAGAGAAAATAAGGTGAAGCTAAGTTTTGATCTACTCTCTTTTAGGTACGGCGTCTTAGTCTAATGGTATCTTACCAATGTTGAAAGATATCACAAGTTCGAATCACCTTTTCATTAAATTTTAAAAAAAAAATAAAAAAAGTTCAAGCTTTACGAAGCAAGAAAAGCCCTCCACACGCTACTCCCTCCTTTGTTAGAATTGCCACTTTGTTATTTTGTCAAGAGAAGATTTCATCAAGTCCTAAATAAAAAGTTGCCGCCCCTTTAACAAGATATTTATTTTTATGTATGTATCATATTGAGATTTGTAAGCGATAGCGGCTTTTAAAATGTAAGGAGTTTGTGAAAGTATACTGTTTTATTTTAACCTATTGAGGGCAAGTTTTGGCGCAATAGAAATATTGCTTCTTTGTGACCAAAAATTGACAGGTTTGAGTCATAGAAAATGTCTCTTTGAAAAGCAAAGGTAAGGCTACATACGACAAATGTTTCTCTCCCGATCCTCACAAAACAGAGAACCTTGTTGACTTGGGATTACCCTTTATTTTAATGGGTAATTCATAGTCAAGCCCCATGATCGAATCCATAGCTAGAAGAAAGGGAGAGATTATAAGAGTCAAGATCTAATGAAAATTATGAAATAAGTTAACAACAATTGACATTCAAAAGGTTAAGTTATCCACTGAGATTATATAAACAAATTAGATTATCCTCTGTTAATTACCTTTGAAATTGTCCTACTACTACTTGCAACATATCAAATAACTTCTTTCGGCTTGCTCACCAACTTCTTCACTTTGCCTACCATAAAATTAGTAAAAGCCCAAATTTTTGAAAGAAAAAAAAACAGAGGGGCCTTCAATTACCAAAACCATTCCTAACATGGTCTACCAAACACATTGTCAGCCATTTCCTCCTAATGAGGAAAAAGTTGTCCAAGTCACATCAGTTTTCCAATTTTCCCCCTACTTCGAACCGGAAATTATCACCGAGGGGCGGAAGCATCACGAGTTCGATGTTGGATCGGCAATTTCGCCCACGGGCTGATGGGGATAGGGCGTTGGATATTAGGCGGACCATTTTGGCAGGTCGGGCCATTTGCAAGAGCTGGGGAGGAAGCAGGAGCAGCAGCAGAAGATGACGAGGATGAGACGGCTACACGCTCGCATGACGGGCACATGGTGAGGGTTGTGGGAGGGTTCATCTGCATGTAGAACTGTGGTGAGAGTTTGAGTGCTCTAAGCTCTTGCACTTCCTTGTGCAACCTCCTGTTGTCCTCTGTTAGTTTCTCACAGCACCTCTTTAGTAATTCACAATCCACCTCTGTTTGCTTTAACTTAGTCCTGCAGTTAAATTATCTAATAATGGAAGATCCAGCGAACACAAATGCTGCGTGCAGTGTACGCCCGATGCATACTAGAAAATTTCAAACCAATCACATGAATTAAATCCACGGCAACTTTTTCTTATGTTCATATTTCGATAAATAGGCACCTAGGGTGACCCAAAATACCATTATTTATGTATGGGAAACATCTACATTTGGACTCATCTCATTAAATGCTAACACATGAGAACTGTGACACCAAATTGGTACGTTACACAAGAAACCAAAATATAAAATCAAATAAAGATTGCTGCTATTCTTTATCTCATTGTCTTATTTTTCTACCAACTTCCTAATAAATAATTTAATTATAAATTTTTAATTTATAAAATAAATTGTTATTAGCATTCTAAAAATTCAATCGTTTTTTTTTTGTTTCTAAATATAAAAGGTTTGAATTTCTAAAACAGGTGGGCGTGGCAGCACTCGAAATAAAATAGTCCAAAAGACAATTTACCCTTGTTTCAGTGAAGAAATTTCTCACCTTGCCCTCCTGTTCTGAAACCAGACCTCCACTTGTCTTGATCTTAGGTTCAGCTGCTTTGCCAACTCCTGCTTCTGCTTCTGAAACACAACGTAACACCCTTGCTTCACTACCAAATTAACAAAATTGCCACTGTTCGGTCGAGCGGAAAAGACCAAAACACCCTTGAGAAAACAGGAAAATAACTAACCGGATTCAGAGTGTTGTGCTCCTTAAACGTCTCCTCGAGGAGCAGAGACTGCTCCTTCGACAGCCTCAGCTTCTTCCTTGACATGTCGCCGCCGTTGCCATCTTCGTCGTCGCTGCCGCCGCCGTGGGAGCACGAGGTCCTCTCGCCCTCGTTCTCGTCGACGATGGGCTCCCTGTCGCTTCTCTTCCCGCTCAGGCTCGACACCGTGCTGTTCGGCGATGAAACCCCGTTTTCTTCCTCGAAATCCGCCATCGATGGCGCCTCGTTCACGTCTATGAGAAACGACCTCGTATCTGGGTTTCGATCTGTTTAAGAATTCAAAAGGGCAGGGTGTAAATAAAGACGTCATTGTGTAACAAAACCAATTCATAACTATATACAAGAGAGGGGGGGGGGAACCCTCAGAAAATCAGATCTGAAAAAAATTCATAACAATAATTCAAGGAAAATGGGGATTAAAACGTCCAAAAAATCAAAATTACTGAAAAATAGAGGAAACAAAGAACAATTAATTACCAGGAAATTGGAAGCTTTCATTCCATGAAGTTCTGTGAGGGTGATTCTGCATGGCGTGTGAAGGCTTCTCCATGAGATTCAACTGCAAACAAGGCTCACTCTCATTGGGTTTCAATCCCAAGCTCAGACTCAATCCCAACCCCAACCCATTCATATCTTTCATGTTCTCACTCATTTTCTCAGCAGCCAAACAGAGTAAGAAGAAAAACCCGGCTCCCAGATTACAGAGAAAAGCAAGAAAGGATCATTCTTTCCATGTTGGGGTATCTGGGTTGGTTTTGTCTACTGTTTGGATGCCAGGAAATTAAAAGGGGTGGAAAAAATGGGTGCGCTTTGGAGCAAGAGGGGCGTCACAGCCTTTGGGCTTTTGCTTTTTGCAGTAAGAGTAAAAGGATGATGGGGACTACATATATTTATATGTGTGCATATATAGATACGGTGTATAGATACAGAGGGAAAGACATAGGTAGGAGGTTGTAGAGTTAATCATGATTTTGTATCTGAGCAGACAGACCCTATTGCCTGTTGGCTCTACCAATGATATGACATGATGGCTCCATAGGCTTTAGCATTTTTACTACTACTAGACTCAGTTACCAACAATTTTTAACCATGATTAGGTGTAAGGTTTTAACCACGGTTAAAATGAGTATAGAAATTGGAAAGTTAATGTTTTTTACTTTTCTTTTGATAACGATTAATGAACACGGGATTTTTTTTTCACGGAAAAATAAATTTAATTAAAGAGAGAAACTTTTAATACAACCGTTTCCAGTACAATCAATCAGATAAGCATCTCTTAAGAACCTATCCCGAATATGAGTTACCTTTATTGAGTGACCAACACTAATAATGGCATCGACAATGAAATTAGTCTCACAAAAGACATGAGACCAAGAGATAAAAGAAAAGGAAGTGGTCAGCAATTTGATGTCTTTAATGATGATCCTCAGCTGCCAAGGTGTAATACATTTGTTCAAAATTGCATCAATTATAAGTTTAGAATCTCATTCAACACACACCTTCTTAAAACCTTTGACATTTGCAAACCTCAAAGCATCACGAAGAGTCAGAGCTTCAGCAACAAAAATTGTACTTTCTACAAGATTGAGGGAACCAACCACAATAGGTGAATCGTTAGAGATTCTGATGACAAAACCAGCAGCAACCTTAGAACCCACCAGAGAGCAATCAAAATTAATTTTGAGTTTGGGAGAATGAAGCGGTCTCCACTTGATAATTTGAGTTGCAATCTGGGTATGAACTGATCTTAAGTTTTTATTGGCATGGTAATATTGTCTGCCAACCGTAGCAACAACCGTAGGAACCCTAGTAGCATGCGGCTTGCAATCACAAAAAATAAGATTATTTCTATCATTCCACACCTGTTAATAAATATGTGAAACCCTAGCAGGATGCACCCGAGTTGCAAAATATCCTTTTCATGCTTTTAATTTTTCAATAATACTAGAATATCATGTATTTTTTCTTAATTTTTTTTTTTAACTTCAATTGATGTGCCAATGTCCGGTTTAATCCAAAAAAAAATTAAAAAATTAAAAATTAGGCATGGAATGGAATTGAACGGAAGCAACGCAAGGAGATGAAACACGATCAAATTATCCAAAAGTTTTGCTTAATGGAAAATTATCTAAAAGTTTGAGATAACGATGTGACGTCTTCTAACAATAAAGGAAAATAATTCGTAGATTACTTTTCAAAAGTAACATTTTCTTAACTTTTCATATAAATTACAAGTCGATATGTGTTGTTTTTCTTTAATAATACAATTTGACATGTATAGCGATATTTTGGCTTTTTAGCCAAAATAATCTTTGAGATTTTTATAACTTCTTATTTTGGTTCATGAGATTTGAAATCAATAGAAATGGTCCTTGAGATTGTCCAACATCAATCATTTTGGTCATTCTATGAGAAGTTATGCTATATAATGATCTAAATGACAAAAATACCCTCACTCTAATAAACTATAGGCCAAAATGATTTGATAAAAATTGAAGGTATTTTTGTCATATATTCTTATTTAATGGAGATTTTTCATGAAATGACCAAAATAATTGATGGTGGACAATTTCAAAGACCAATTATATCGATTTCAAATCTTAAGAACCAAAGTGACAAGTTATACAAATCTCAAGGACAATTTTAGCTAAAAAGCCTAATATGTGTTTAACATGTGTACTATCTATTCACTCAGGTTCGAATTCTTTTATCAGTATTTTAGACGAAGCTAGAGTATGTTTACTTGACAAAAATACGAAGATGAAGGAATCAGATCGAGAACTTAGAAATGAGGAAAGTAAGGTAAAGAGCCCCTAGTTTATATGATTATTGTGGAGCAAAAAATAATCAAGAAAAATATGAAGGCGACACATGAATTTTTGGATAAAAAAAACAAGATTACCTTGGAGACACATCGAACTCCTACGTACAAGCAATGGACAATCATGACTTAATTAAGGTCAAAAGTGCTCAAAATAGGTAATTATTCAAAACTTATTTCATCCATCCTCATCAAATCTTCTCCACAATGTAACCCGAAATCATTCCTTTCAAATTATATTAATTAGCTAATTAATTGATTTATTACTCAATTAATTTATTAATTAGCTAATAAATTGTGAATCACACCCAAAAAACTGATCCAAGTGGCCGGTTCCCATCTCTCCCAAAGGGGCCGGCCACACCCCTATAAATATCACCCTATTTTCTACAAAAACCCAAGTTGAATCCTCTTGCTAAATTCTCTAAATTCTCCAAACACTTTTCTCTCAAAATTCTAACTTTGGCATCGGAGGTTCTTTGGCTAAAGCCCCCCCCCCCAATTCATTGTGGGCGCATGAGGCTCTTGACCTTGACCTAAGGTGTTATTTGTTTTGTAGGTGCAATTTTGTCCAAGAACAAAAATGAAGAAATTTGCATCCACAATTATCAAATTTTAGATATTTTATTACGGATTTCAGAGGAGAATTTATATTTTTCGATTTTAGGTGTAGGTAAACACTTGAAAACAAGAATCAAATGATTAAATTACTGTTTCTTGTGAGTAAACATTCTCTTAACATAAACATCTCATCGTATTATCAAAAGAACTCAAAATTATAGGTATTATTATTAATTTATGTAGGACAATAAAAAAACCGAAGTTTACAATTTTTTTTTTTTTAACAAAGAGTTTACATATTAAATGAGAGCGTTGATAGACTCACCCCACTATTTTATATTCCCACCACTTTTTTTATAAAATTGAGCTTGGAGGAGTGGATTGGGTTGTTGCGAATTTAGAAATGGGGCATGAGGATGAAATTTTGGAAATGCGACATGTGGTTTGTCGTGGGATTTGGAAGGATGAGGGAAGGAGGTTGTGTTAGGGGTCTAGAAAGAGTGAAGGAATGAGAGTTGCAATAGGCTGGAGATCTGGACATGATCAAATTTTGAACTACTGACCGGAATAAAAATCAAGAAGGTAGACCTTGGTGGTGAGTGGAGGCTCGGTTGGATTTATCAACACTCTAATATTTATTCTTCTAAAATATTTAAAAAAGAATTCAATATATATTAAAGGTCATGTTGAAAATAAAAGTGGATGAGAAAATAACATTTTAATTTTTTTGTAGTGGATGAGATTAGAATGTGAGTGAAAAAAATAACACATTAAGTTGGGTGTAACGTCACTATAAATGTTTTACCAAAAATAAAAGAGAAATGTTATGAAGACTTTCTCAAATGTAGAACTATTTGCCCTTAATGTTTTTTGCATAATTTTTATATTATTAACATAAAACTTAACGTTAATTTATAATGTAGCAGAAAATTGATGAAAAATCTCATTTTAAAAGAACCATTCTTATAATTTCTCAAAAAGAAGTAGGGCAAACGATTTGAATGCTAAGTTGACCAGTAGCTTTATTAGGGGATTGTTCAACAGTCACGCGAGAATCATTCACGCGCCTCAAAATCATCGGATCATGATGAGGTTTAATCAGGTCATGCATGCCCCCACAGATTGAACGGTGGATTGAATGGTGGGCGTGGGGAGGTTTCTGTACGTTTCGTTTGTCTTGGTCAGCGGGAAATGATGACGAAGAAAGTGGGGAGCAATTCGCTCCTCATCATAAGTTATAGTGCATTTTAATAAATGTTCTTCAAAAGTTGAAAAATAATATTCAATGTGAAAATTAACTACAGTTAAGTGAAAAACATGTGTTAATTAATTAGACGTATAATAAATATACACTGTAGTTACAGTGGCGGGCAAAAATGATTTCAAGAAAGTGTAGTAGGATTGGGGGATTTGGTTGGCATTCAGTTTGATTTTTGGTGAAGTTGGGAGAAGTTGGAACATGGAGATTGGTTTCCAAATTGAAAGCAAAATTAATGTCAAAATAATTCACACACTTTTTCATGTTCGTTTTTGGTTAGTCAAACACTCGAGCGATTGGATTGGGCAATTTGGTTTTGTAATTAATTCAAGGGCGTGAATTCCCATTTTCTTCTCATTGCTTTGTTTGCTTTTGTGTGTAACGCCTACTTGAGTCATAGATTAGACGTAACTAATATTTCTATGGTCATTCGGATGTTCCGGATCATTTTATCGTTAGATCTTAGTTTGTTATGTTTTGACTAAAATATCGCGGTTAAAAAGTTGAGAGAATATTCTATACTCTAGAATATAAAATTAAATAAAAAATCTCTAAATGCAAACCTAGGTTGCGTTTGTTTGTTCTTATTAGTTTTTACTTGACTGGACTGAACTGGACAAAGAATTAGTGTAATCCCGTATTTGTTACTTGCAGGGACTAGCTTTAATTGGATTAAGTCAAACTCACCTGAACTAACGACCTTGTAGACGGTCTTAGCGAGATCCCCAAAAAAATCAGCCTACTAAATCAATTTTGAACTTATTTTGAAGTTAATCTAATATGAGATAGTCTGTGCAACAAACACACTCCTAATTGATTGCACCTGCTATAATAGCTCGTTTGAAAGTGTATTTCAGAAGACTGAAAGCGCTTTTGGTGAAATTGATTTTGGATTCCAAAAACACTTTAAGTTGCTTCATGGAAGAAGCACATATATGACCTTTTTTTTCTTCCAAAAAGTACTTTAAATGTTTTTCTAGAATCCACTAAAAAATTTACTAAGAATTGATTTTAAGAACACTTTCACTAAAATGCGTTTCAATTATTTTAAAAACGCTTCCAAATGAGCCTTTATTCTATTACTGCTTTGGTACAAGGATTGGAGAATTATGGTTGATTGAAAGAAATCTAACAATAAAGTGATCTCCGATGCAGTAGGAAATTTGCCCTCAAATTTTTTATTTGATTCTAAGAGCATTTGTAATTAAGAAGTGCAACTTTGAGATGTAAAGTTACA